TGCCCCCGCTCCTTTGTAGACCTCCCTAAGGTGATCATGTGCAACCGAGTGCGGGTCCCTGTCCTGCGCCGCAGCAAAGACATGCTCCCACCCAGTGTGTTGAACAGCACGAGATTCCCGGAAACATTTCCAATCACCCTGGCTAGCCCTCTGAAGCCGTTGGTCTTCCCACTGCTTCCTAGCGAGTTTGCGGAGTCCACGAACCCTGCACCAAGCTTCCTTGGATTTGTGAACTCTAGCCCTGGCCACTGCATCTTTGACCTCGGGAGGATCACGGTACCCCACCCCAGATACTGGCTTGGTAGAGGTAGAAGCAAGCATCGTTAGAACGTCCTGGTCAATATAATCAATCTGCGTCACCGTGCCACACCAAACCCTTGGTTTCGTAGAGAACCTGCGTGCCCCTGTCCCTTTCTGAATGCCAATAGAGGCATGTAGTAGCTCATGGTCTGTGCCCAAGACGACATGCGAATCTTCATGAACAGAAAGAGAAGCTCTGGCAACCCTCGCAACCGACATGTAGTCAATGATGTGACCCTTTCGTCCAGTCTGTCTCGGTCTACTCGTCGGTGTGTGGTGCTGAGCCACCCCGGGAGGAACAAGCCCCAACCCCTTGGATGTGAGCTGGCCGAGGATCTCGTTGGCTTTCCCATCCAGCCCTGCCGGTTCGGACTTCCCATCGTCCCTCACCCATTTAATAGCCGCATTGGCATCACACTGGCAAAGCACCGGCACGTTCCCCCCGGGCGCCTTTGCGAGGAAATCGGAGACCTCCTTTTCATACTGGGTGTGTGTGCATCCCGGGTTGAAGTGAGCCGAGCCCACCCAAACAAGACCACCAGTTTGCAAGTGTTTGAGTTTGAACCACGTACCTCTGATCGTGGAGAACCTCTGTAAGACAGACCACACATCCCTGTAGAAAGCGATCCCTGTAGCGCGCCATGCGACATCAGATCGATGCGACACAATTTCAAGTGTCCCCTGTTTTTCACTCGACCAGCCAGCAGACCCTCTCGGCAGCTCTTGCAGGGTGACCAAGGAGTCTCGGTCGAGGGGAGCTTTGCTTCCGGAAATAATCGCCGCAGCAAGATCTTTGACATCACAACCACCCACATTCCATCCGAAGAAGTCGAACTGAAAGCCAGACTGTTCCACTGAAGCACTGCCTTGAGAAAGTTTGTGAGAAATCCCTGTACAATTCGGGGACTGCGCGAAGGAACTCGCCGGCCGTTCGTCTTGAGAACCAGCGAGTCGGCTTAACCGACCCTCCATACCATCCCTTTCCCTGCAATGGTGAATAGAATCCTGAATTAAACGGCCACCCAACTGGAGACGTCCCATCATGCGGTTTTCGCCTGACCAGGCATCCCAGGGGCAAGAAGCCCACTCTCAGCGGCGACACTGTTCCACCGCTTCCCTGATTTTCTTCGCCGGCCTGCCAAGCAACTTCGCGAGCAACCCCACATCAATCCACTGCTTATGGACAGAGTCCTTGTCCACCACTATCCCAGCATGGTCGTGTTTTGGCGGCACCGGCAAACGGACCGACCCAAGCATGCCGTCTGGTCCCCAGCACGTTCCTGTCTTGTACTCCATATCGAGGCTCTCTTTGGCCACCGTCTCGTCGAACGAGGCCACAACCCTTTTTATCAAGGAGGCATGTCCCGCGATAGCACGTTCTTCAGGTGTCCGCGAGTAGCTGCACCAGAGACGCGTGCCGGCTCCAGTCAAAATCTCAGTGCCCGCGAAAGAGGAGACGAAGTGGAACATCCGAGCACGTTTCTCAGCTTCACTCTCACCCTGCCGCTGGGCGATAGTCATCAGGGCGATGGATCTTCTGGGTCCCGTAGTGAAAGGGGGCGAGTCAACCGACCCTTCAAGCCCGAGAGCCCTGAAGGCCTCCGCAGCCTCCTTCAAGATAACCTGGCGACGGCTATCCCGCGGCCAGCCTCCAATGACCAACGTGTTTTTCCTGCGATCCTCATCAACGCTGGGCCCCGCAGAACCCCCAG